GTCTGGGACATTTCTGATGACTAGATGTGGAGTCTGGAAGAGTTGTGGCACTTGCAGCTTTAGAGAAATGAGCATTTTAGCTAGCAGTATAACCTTTCCCCTTTTTGTGGCTGTTTGCTGTTCACCTTTTGGTAGTTAGCTCTTCTCAGGGTGAGTGCACCAACAGACAATTTAATGGACTACAATTTTACTGAGAACTCTTTCTCAAACATTGCTCATAAGAAGTCTTCAGGTTTGTGAGGAACTAGGATCAAGACCATCAAAGTCTTTGTAAGCATGTCTTTTGTGCTCATACACTGGGAAGTCCTGTGTCTAGGTGTGGCTCCTTCAATCCTGCGTCTCTTCCTGCTTCCTGTGTCCTGGTACCCCCTATGTCAGGCAGTCAGAGATAGTCAGGGCTTTGAGGAGGTTTTCAGGTATAATCCAAATGCAAGGCAAGGTCACTGTACCTTCCTGTTCTCTACTTGTGAAGAAAAATCTCCTCTTTCGTGCAGGCTGAGGGAATGATCCCTCTTCGAGGGGTTTTGTAATGGATTTGTTTGGACTGGATGATGTGCAAATATTTAAACGTGTGGGCTTTTTTAAAGAATTAAAGGCCTTTCATACTTGAGTAAATTGGCACCATTGAATTAGACTTGCTGAGTCTTTGAAGGATTAAAGTTAGGATTGTGCCTTCAACTATCTCACATCTCTAGATTTAAATGTTTTCATGTGATGCACACAGAACTTTAACACTTAAAGGAATCCCTAACACTTTCAAGCTATTCTTGCCACACATACTCCTTGTAGATTGTGTGCTTTGGGATACCAGTTTTGGTCATCATCTGGGTGGTTCTGGATACAGTTAGAATCTTAGAATATCTTGGGTTGGAAGGGATCCATAAGGATCATCAAAGTCTGACTGTTGGCCCTGCACAGGACAGCCCCAAGGATCACACCCTGTGTCTGAGTGCTGCCCTAAAGCTTCTTGAACTCTGTCAGGCTTGATGCTGTGACTGCTTCCCTGGGGAAGTAGATACACTGAAGTAGGTATCTTTTCTGTCACTGTGGTAAATAAAAGGAAGCTAGTCTTTCCTTTTTTAATTAAAATTGCGACTATTAAAGAATTCTCTTTTAGTGCCTTTAGATGTGGCAGTGGCTCTTGCTGACTGGAATCCTTCTTTCAGCAGTTTATGATAAGAGGTCTGTAGTTACCTTTGCAAATCTGCAGAGAGTAATCACTATGTATACACTTGTCATCTCTATGTTGAAGTCTTTTAATGAGTCCTGATTAGGGATCCTTTGAAACTACATGGGCAAACTCTAGGGGAAACAATACTTCTGTCTCTTCTGAAGAGTGATCTGTGGCTGTGAACATGTGTCCTGAACAGTGTAGTGCTTTCTTTTATCACTCCTTGCTTGTGTTTTGCTATCTCTTAAGTATAAAACTGTCCCAGGGTCTCTAGTCATTACTGCTGAAGATTAAGCATCCTGTCCAGCATCATATTTCCCAGTTGCACAGCATCTGCTCAAATTCTGTTAACAGTGTAGTGACCTTCAGATCAGGAGCTAAGGTCTGTCCTGTATTTTTGTTTCTATTCAATATTTAACCATTAAATTAGTGTTTTCCCTTTTCGCTGGGAGGCTGTTACTGCACTTAAGAAGGGGATTTGTCAGCAGAACACCAGCTACTGACACCTGTGGAAAGAAATTCAGCCTCTGTTAATAAACCAGCAGGGCATTCCAGCTCAGTTTCTGCTGTGCCCCTCACACTTTATAAAGGTGTGTTGGATTTGTTGGCAAAATGCAGCTTGTAAAGAAAGGGTTTTTTTCATAAATATCTGCAGTTCATTCAGATTGGCAAGGCAATACCAGAAAAAATTAGGCTTACTCTTAAAGGGCTCCTGGGCATCAAAGAGGAAGAGTTTTCATTTTGCCATGCTTATGTTATTATATGTACACTGATCAGTACAGAACAAGTTGGCTTAAATGTAGATGTTTTAAACAAAATGGAGTTCTAAATGATGGGGCTGTGGCAAACTGTTTTGTGTGGTAAGCAGAAAATAGTAAGGTAAACAAAGGCATGGAAAAATATTTCATCTTCAGAGTACTTCACTGAGTTTTCTTAAGCGTAAATGGGATTTCAGTTTATTTTAAAGTAAAATCTGAAACATTGGGTTGAGAGGTTTGATTTTGAGCGTTCATGTTTATACTGTAAAGGTGTTTGTTCTCATTAGGTACAATGAAGCAAATCTTCCATATAATTACATTAGTGATACGTGACATTAAAGCTTAATTGGCTTATTTTAAATATCTTGCACATCAATTTCTTTCAGATTGTGAAAATTGAAAAGGTCATGAGTGCAGTTTAATATTCCAGGGTGAGAGATTTCAATTTTAGTACAATTTGTAGAGATTTAATTAGGAAACATGACTAAAAGAAAAAGGATGTTGAATGCAAATGAGGCTGTTCATTAGAGTATAGAAACTGAAACATCTTGAAGTATTGTGGAAATTTGATTGCAGATTCAGTAAGCATCTTGATTGATTTTTTTTTTTTAAAGTTATTTTTATTTTTAAAAGTAGAAGTTACTGTAATTGTTCTTCAGGGTGTAGACTTAATATAATTGTCACAGGCATTCTAAAATAAAATGCTATGCCTTTTCATGGAGTTCTCTGTTGACCAGGATTTTTGTTTTGCAGGAGATTGATGAAGCCTGCAAGAGGATAAAACGTGAAATTGATGATTTAGGCCCAGAAGTTGGTGACATCAAAATCATTCCATTGTATTCCACCCTTCCTCCTCAGCAACAGCAAAGGATATTTGAGCCTCCCCCACCGAAAAAACAAAATGGAGCAATTGGAAGAAAGGTAAATACTGCACTGGTTTAGTATGCTGTTCTTTAAGTAGCTGCTCAGTTGTGTGGGCAAGGAAATATAAGTTTCAGCTGGTTTAAGTATATTTTGAAGCAACAAGTAGAAGGGTTTGGTTTTTTTATGAAGCCTTAATAATCCAGTATTTATCACATTAGAATTTTTGTATTACTTGATATTTGTTTCTCGGTGCAAGTCGAAGTTCTGTTTCCCATCTATAAGGCCAGAATGTAGTAACAGTTTGGTTGGACTGAATGGAAGTGGCATTCATTGAAGTTTCTTGAGAGAAATACAATTTATGTGGAGGGATGGGCTTTTTTCCCTAAGTAGGTGCTTTGAGACATGGTTTTGGTTGCTTTTTATTTTTTTTTTTATTTTTTTAAACAAAATGGACTGTTTCTCCACGGGAGGTTGTCAGGGAGGTTTTGTCTGTTTCTTAAGGTTTATGAGAGTTAAAGCAAGTGCATCAAAGTTAGAGGTTTGTGTTTTCTGTAGTAGTAAACAAGGAACTGAGGTTCTTTCATGGGCAAAATGGACTGAGAAACTGAAAAGCTTGAAATGGCACAGGGAATGCTCTTTGTGAAATTGATACATCAATGCTTGCATAAAGCAATTAGAAGCTATGTGGTTATTTCTCTAAAACTGAACATTGGAAATGAGTCTTAATAGAGTTTCCTCACGTTAAGTTAATGCTCTATGAAATTCTTTTAGCAATCACAAAACTAAGATTTTGAAGGTCAAAGCTGAATCATACTCTGTGCTCTAGGCAGGGGTTTGTTCCTTGATTATTTGGGTTTTTTTGCAGTACTATAAAATGCATGTAGAATAGTAGCAACAGCTTTCTAGTGTTCTGGAGGAGTAAATCACTTAATAAATGTAGTGGAATTGTCTTCTTTTTCCTGTGGAAGTTCATTGCAGAAAGCATTCAGTCTGAAATCATGAAACTAGTGCTGCAACAAGATTGTGTTATCAAATGACTTAAATGAATTAAATTGCTTTCCAGTAATGAACAAGTGATAGCTGTGTATTTTATTCAGTACTCATTCATGTTTAAATCTGTGCACTTCAAAATAGGTAGTTTTGGGTTTTCTTCATAAGAGGATAACAAGCACAGAGTGTAGCTCCCATTATGTTGAACTGACAGAGGCAGTACCAGTGATGAGAGGAACATGCTCTTGCTGTAGCAGCTACTGAACTACAAGAAAAGTTGTTATGCCCAAAAGATATCAATTGTAGGCAAAAGCAGGCACAGTGCAGGCAACAGACTCAACCCTGTAACGTTGCTTTTCCTCTTTGCCTGCCTTGGCTGAAATATTCCAACTTCAATGTTTTAGTTTTTATCTTCATAGCAAATGTAGCTATGAGAGCAAGTGCATCTGTGTTGTAAATTTGTGTTGTTTTAGTTTCAGTTAGTCTTAGTGCCTTAGGACCGTGTGTTGCTGTGCCTTAGAAGATGCTTGCTCACACACACTCCTGTGGGAGCTGAACCTAGTCTCTAGAACTGCTCAGGAGAGAGCTGGCAGGTGGTCTGAGTCATTTCAAAGGCTCTAATGGTCATAAAAATGTAAGTGAAGTGCTTGCAGGATCTGAGTAAGTATCTCCTCCTGAGCTTTCACTTTGTGAAAGGAGAGATACTGCAAGTTGTGTGGTGTCTTGCAGTAGTAACAGCTAGTAGTGATACAGCTCGAGAGCCTAGCACATTTATTTGTTCTCTCTGTGCTAAGAAAAATGAGCTGTTGCTGCAGGAAAGCTTAAGATTGGAGATAAAACCAGTTTTTACTAGTTAATCAGAGTATTTAATTGATACTGTGGAGGAAGATGAAGATGACTTAAAGAACCTTTCTATTGTCCCATGTTAAAAGCTCCTTGTTAAATCATCTTCCTATCTTATCCCTTTCCAAACTGTTCTAGTTCCTGTTTCAGCAATCTTCAGCATTGCTGGTTAGTACATATGCAATATAGAGATATTTTTAGATGTAGGTACTATGTGTATTTTAATATTCAGAGTACTGTAATCTCAGTAGCTGCAGCTAAAGCTAATTAGGTACAATTAATTATTTTCTGTAGCTTAGCACTAATTTCTGAAGTAACTTAGTACTTCGATTTAGGCTTGAAAGATGTGTAATTCCATCAACTTTTTTTAATTACTTGTGTTTTTACATTCATTAATTATAGTTTTTAAGCAGTGTGACATTAACGAATTATATCTGTACATACAACACAGCGTAAACAACTTTTTTGTTTCTTTTACCTTTGGAAAATTCTGTATTATTCAAGTACAAATAAGTAAATTCAGGTACAAGTTCAAATGCTCTGCTTTTGTGGACTAAGCACACTAACAGTATTGAGTTATTGGTATTGAAGTGTCCTAATAGAAATTGGTGATTAAAAGCAGGACCAAAACTCTGTCATTGGCACTCAAAGCTTCTGGGTACAGATGGGTCTGTGCATTAGCAGAGACAGAAAACCCCAAAACGTTTAGATGAGGTACACTCTGTAAGGGCCAGCTGAGTGTGGATTGACTAGCCTTTTAATGTAGGAGAGTGAGTTTAATTTGCATACTTAATGCCCGGTGAATTTTTTATGAAAATGATTTTGCACTGAATTGCATTGATGTTTGTGGCTTTTATCTGTGACTAATTTGTGCAGGTTACCTGTGAATGAAATGTGTACAGGATTTTTTTGTTTGCTTGATGAATTCAAAGTAGCACATCATTTCAGGGTGAAACACCATAATTCCAAAGTAATTGACGGGAGGTTTTTCCACCAAAGTATTGCTTTCGATATATTGTAGTATTTGGGCCAGCTTAGACCGTAACTCTACTTAAGAAGAGACAAGCTGAGTGTAATAAGTAGCTGACTGGCAAAGTGATCAGCTAGCAGGGAAGGAAATCAGAGATTATCAACCTAGTCCAGCCACTGGCTTCGTTGTAATTGTGAGCAAAGTGTTAGGGGTCTCTCCAGTTCTAATTGCTAAGCTGAAAACATTGAAAACAATGATGACAGAATGCTCTGAAATTAAGAGGTAAAGGTAAGTAGTTTTGATGAACTGCTGTACAAGTTTGGGGTCTTTTCTGAGATAGCTGATTAAACTTGCTAATAGTATATGATATAATGTGGTCACTGTTGGGATGAGAGCTAATGGTATGTATAGAAACTGCAGCTCTGGACATGAAGGATGGTGAATCAAACCTCACAGCTCTGATTTTGCCTTTGTTTTAATTGTTGCATGAGATTTAACCTTCATGAAGTTTATAGAAATTTAAATAATGTAACATTAAAGATACATAAAGATGATTGAATATCTGATCATAGAAAAAGTTGAAATTAAACATGTACTGTTCAGAGTTTTAGCTCAAATATATTGATAACAGCTTTATTTCAAGCCAAATAAAAGAAAATGCTGTGCTTGTGCTATATATAACCTTTTACTTAGTAATATTTAACCAATTTACCCTGTTTAAGCTTTAAAAGAAAGGTTAAAATCTAGAATTAATAGAAAGTGTTAAAGGGATCCAGTGGTAACTTGTCATGCTGTACCAGAGATGTAAGAAGAAATTGGATACTGGTTTCATAAGTAACAGTTTTGCCCTTTGGTTTCTTTTTCTAAAAAGTAACATTTATATTGTTCATAGTCTCATAGGGAGTAACAAGATTGGATAGAAATCGCAATCTTTGCACTAGAAGTTCATCTGGTTGATTTCAGATCACCCTGTGAAAGTGTTGGAGCACAGCTCTGGTAGTTATTGATGAAGAGAAGGAAAGTTTGCTGAAAATTCTTTGTGTAGAGACAAAATCAGAGCTCTTCATCTCCAGGACAGAGGCATTTAATTTACTTGTTTGGTTGTTTTTGTTTTCTTGACAGGTTGTTGTGTCCACTAACATAGCTGAGACATCATTAACAATAGATGGTGTTGTGTTTGTGATTGATCCTGGCTTTGCAAAACAGAAGGTAAAGACTATTTCGTTTTCTGGGGTTTTTCTTGGGGTATTTTTTTATGTAGTAGGAAAGATGCTGCCGTCTGGTTTCCTGAGGTAACTCTTTCCTTTGTAAACACTTAAGTCTTTTTCCAGTTGAAATCTTGAACTTGGTTGCTTTGGTTTTGTTTTGGTTTTAACTTAAGAACTGTTTGCAGTTAGTCTGCAAACTTTAGTTAGAATATGGAATATGTATTTTCTAGATACTTTAGAAAGAGTAGTTTTTTAATATGTGTCTATGCTTGGAAATGTTCAAGATAGAATATAGAATATGTATTTTCCAGATACTTTAGAAAGAGTAGTTTTTTACTATGTGTCTATGCTTGGAAATGTTCAAGTAAAACCAAGAATCGAAAGTTAATCCAACTGGTGCTAGAAGCTTCCTCGTCTTTTAAGTTACTGTAGAAAACTCCAGCACTAAAATCAAAATAAGGAAATGATACCTACTGTTTCTGTCAGTATTTATCACGTATTGTTGCAGCCCTGAAAGTTGTAATCAAGCTTGTATTGTTGTTCTTGGAACATTGTGGGATGTTCAGAGGAACTGAAGTAGCTTTCCTACAGTCAACCCAATAACTAAAGAAAGAACAAAATACAAATCTCAATCTTCATTTAGTTTTTTCACTAACCAACCTTTTTTATAACTTGGTTTCTCACACTTTCATGCTGGTGCACACTGTCAGCCTTGTAAACTTTAGCTAAATGAGACAGTCATACAGCAGAATGTGAGTACAGCCAGTGCATCTTCATGCACAAGCTTCAATCACCATTTAGGCTGATTTTTTTTCAGAAGTAGTTCTTACAGTGGAAGAATAACCTTCTGTAATAAGAACTAAAGGTTTTATACACATACGATGCTTACTCTCATCAGAAAAGTGTTAAAACATGGACTGAACTTCTTCAGCTGAAACTATTACAGGGTGACTGCTGCCTTCTTTTTGCAGTATGTCCTTTACATGAGCCCTGTTGAGTTGGCAGGGCTGCTGGTGATGTATGACTGCAGTGGAAATGTTACAGTACATACCAACACATACTCTGTACAGTGACAGTCTGCCTGTACCCTTGAAATACAGACTTGGTTTAGCATCAGCCTGATTTTTACAGTTGCGTTCAACCTTAGCATTAGATTTTTCTGATCTCGAAAACATGATTATTCAACCTCATAATTATATCAAGACAGCTTTTTTAATGGAATTTTTTTGAGCATCATGAGTGTTTAGCACTCTATAGAACAAATTGGGCACATTCTTTTTGCCATGAAAATCTTATCTAAAAATACACACATTTAAGGAGAACAGGGAGCCTGGCAGGAGTTGCTGTTAACAAGTGAATAAAAAATGCTTTTCTCTAGGCAGTTGCATTTGAAGCTCTGTCACTGATCCAGAGCCTTTTGTAGCCAATTTTTTCTCCTTTCAGATACACAGTACTTGTGATTTCCTAGTCAGAAGCTGTATTTGAAAATAAGTTTAAAGCAGTCTTTATTTTTTTAGACAGTTGTCTTATCTATGAACATTGTTCATTCTTTTCCTTCCTTCCTGCTCTGCTTCCCCTTTGAAACAGGTGTATAACCCTCGGATCAGAGTGGAGTCTCTGCTGGTGACTGCCATCAGTAAAGCCTCTGCTCAGCAGCGAGCTGGCCGTGCTGGGAGGACCAGACCAGGAAAGTGTTTCAGGCTTTATACAGAGAAGGCCTACAAAACTGAAATGCAGGTAAGATTGCTTAGTTTAGATTGTGTTTATAAGAAAGTCTGATTGATTCAGGTAGTTGAGTTCTGTGCTGTTAAACAAAATCGAGTTTGAATGCTTCTGTAGTATAAAGTGTTTGGAAGAACAAGTGTTACGAATTTTCTCTTTTTTCCCTCCCCCCCAGGACAACACATACCCTGAAATTTTGAGGTCTAACTTAGGATCTGTAGTATTACAGCTCAAGAAGCTTGGTATAGATGATTTGGTGCACTTTGATTTTATGGATCCTCCAGGTATCTATTTCCATCTTTCCAGTCTTTATTTTTGTGGCTGTGTTATATAATGCCAACATGGAATAAATTATTTTATGTTTTTTTTCCCTTTTTTATTGTCATCTGTAAGGTATGTGCTTTGTTTTTCCTGGAATTTAGTGCGCTGTGTTGTATCAAAGCAAGCTTTTTATGTTTCTGCCTGAAAAACAGCTTTCAGTGGTACCAAGGAACCTACTGAATGCCCCTTGCCTGCAGAGAATAAAGAAAATTGGGCATTAGAAAGTCTATTATTTGAGGGTTTTCTTAACTTACCACCTTGATTACACATTCTAATTGTGCAATCAGTTAACAACTGTATGTAAACAAAATTGGTTAGTGTTTTGAAAGCTGAATACATGTTTTTGGCTCAAACTATAAAGTTAATGTGTATCTCATTTCTAAGTGTTAAATGTTCATATATACTTCAGATGTAACTGGGTTATATTGCTAATTAGAGACATAGATCATCCATATAGAAATGCCAGGGTTTTTTTCCCCCTAAAATAAAAATGCAGCATAGTCTGTAAACTTTTAAATACTTCTACAAAGCAATGAAATTCTTTGTGCTGTGCAACATGTGATAGCTTAGCAGGAAGGCTGTTGGGTTTCCTTCTGGTTGTCTGTGTGGGTTAATACAGACTCTGTATGTGGATTGCAGGATTTAAGAGCATTGTTACTGGCTCAGATTGTGAGAGGCTATAGATAGCTGAGAAATGGCTGAGATTGAAGGACTGTATTGCTCTGGTATGGAGTAAGGGAAGAAGTATCTGCAGGGAGGAGGTGGTGATGTTACTGTGATATTGAATATTTCACATTGCCACTGCTGGTGGAATTTTGAAAAGCAGTAATCTTCAAATATTCATAGCTTGTGATTAAATGTTAAACTCTTCTAAATGAGTGTTGTTCCCTCCCATTCCACCCCCAGTCATTCATGCCTGGGTGTGTATTACCGAATTTGGTAACAGTTTTGTGTTGGAATGCTAATGAATGGAGAACAAAAAAACCCAAGATGGCTCGTAATACTCTCTGCTGCTTCATTTTTTTCTGATGTGGAGCAGTTTGGTTAATGTGCGTACCTACATACTTTTTTCTTTCAGCTCCTGAAACTCTGATGAGAGCCTTAGAGCTTTTGAATTATTTGGCTGCTTTAAACGATGATGGAGACTTGACTGAGTTGGGATCCATGATGGCTGAATTTCCATTGGACCCACAGCTGGCTAAAATGGTTATTGCAAGTTGTGACTACAACTGTTCTAATGAGGTCCTATCTATTACTGCCATGTTGTCAGGTAATAGCAGGAAAAGAGATACTAAACAAAATGCAGATCTTCAGTTTGGGGAGAATTTGAGTTTTCCACATTAAAAAAAAAATATTTCTAATAGAATTAGAATTGTTTTTTAGAACTTCATATTTGGGTTCAGTCATGGATATATGTAAAGACCTTGAAGCTAATGAATAGTATTGTCAAGAAATTAATGCACATAAAATGGTCAGTTTGCTTCTAATTTTAGTTAAATGTGTATGTGCTTGAGTTGTTGGGGTGGGGGGTGAATCAGGCCAGGGGAACAGAAACTTCTTTCTAGGCTTGTAGTCAGGACCAGAAACATCAGTTCAGTCCCTCTGTTTTTAAGGCAGTGACATCTGTTCTGTATTGTGCATTGTTCTGCACTTTGATAAATCCCAGTGTTCCCCAAGGGGTTGCAGTATAACTGATATCAAACCATAAGCTTGTACGTGGAATTCTTACACATTTTTTCAGCCATTAAGTGCTAAAACTGGAGAAGATTCATTACTTTTAAAGGGAAAGAATAAACTTGGGGGGGGAGGAAGTATCTGTGTAAGAACATGCACAGCTGTACTTGGCTGCTGCGTTCTGTGAATAGCACTGCTGGCTGAGAGAGCTTGATGGGAGGAAAATCTTACCAAGCAAACCTTGTATTTAATTTCCCAGTTATGTAGAACTGACTTTGGTTTATAGTTAGAGGTCTAAAGATTGTCTCTATGAAAGTGGGGGTGTTCTTACTCAAAAGTCCTCCTGTCTTTGGGGTGTTCTTACTCAAAAGTCCTCCTGTCTTTGGGGTGTGCTGTCTGAGCAGGCTCTCCCCAATGCAGGTGTACTGCTCACATGCTTAACTTTGGTGAATAGAGCAAACCAAAACCTTCTGACTAAGTGTAAAATCTATTGCTTCAGTTTAGTCTTACAGTATATTTATATGAAAGTTTTTAAGAACAAGCTAAAATGTTTGTTGCAGAGTTATGATTGTTCAGACTCAGAGCAGATGGGCAGGGCAGAATCATAATACTGTTTTTAATGAAATGGTAGGCTTCATTGCGGAGGTGGTGGTAGGTTGGTGCCTGTCTTTCTCTTCCCTTCCCCTCTCCCCCCCCAGATATCTACTGCAGAAAAGTCAGTCTAGCATTTTTATCTGTGGCCTTCAATGATTTGCCTTACTCCTTTTCCAATTTACCTTTTCCAGGCTGTGATACCTTTTTTTGTTTTAAGGCACAATTAATGTAATGATAAAAAAGTTTTTGGGGAAAAATAGAAAATGAACTGGAGCTGGTTAATGTATGGGTTATAACTAAAATACTGCTCCTAAAAAACCTCCATGGTCCTGGTATTTGTGAGGACTATTTCCCAAAGTAAGCACTTGGTTTAAACCAGCAGCGTAATTGCATGTTTTGGTGCCTTAAGTCCACATAAAGATTTGTCAGGCTGTGGATAACAATCCATGTATTAAGTTTGGACTGAATGGGAAACTAAGAAAAGAGCCAAAATAGCATTGAATAAATGAGCAGGTTAAATGATTGTATTTCATTTTATAAGAGCCATGGTGTCTTGCTGTGGTATGGAACGTGCTATTACTTACTCGAAACAGAGTTAAGCCAGTGATAGAATAATTTGGATTTTGCTTTTATTAGTCTGAGTTTGAAAACAAAATACACATTATATTACCTCCTTTTTCAAAGGCAGAACCCACTATACAGGGTGTTTATTTTCTTCAATGCATTGGTCTTTGTTGGTTCGTTGCCATGAGATTCACTGTTGCAGTGTGTATTTTTTTTTCTCAAGTTCCACCCAGTATTCAGCTCACATATCTAGTGCTTTGGGGCTTTTATGCAAATTTAAGAATAAAATAAAGTAAAACTGTGTAACACCCCACAAAAAAGCCCTCATCTGATAGAGACAGATCAGGTGCAGAGAGGTGTCCTCATGAGACTGCTGGGCTTCAGTTATGAGAAAGCTAATGTAGTCCCAGGCAGCTGGAAAAAGGGGAGGATTTGTAGCATCTCAGCATTGAATTTTACTGAAATTTAGCCTCTTAAAAATTACATCTACTTAAAACCCAAGTGGTGTTTTTTTTTTCTGCTGTAGATTTCTATAAAGTGAATCACAGAATGGGTAAGGTTGAAGGACCACAGTGGCTCATCTGGCCAACCTCCCTGCTCCAGCAGGTCTCTTGGAACTACTTTGAAGATCTCATGAATGAGTATCAATCTTACAAACGTCCTAGAATGCTGACAGACTGCGAATTAAGTTGGCTGCAATACTGTTTGTGGTCTTTGCTAGTCTGTGTTTGGAAAGGAAATGTTAAAACGTGATTTTTGGATTCAAGTCAGACTGAGTCAGATGTATGTAAGAGAATACAGTGATGGGGAAAGCTCATCACGTTGCAATTTTTTTCACCTATTTTCTTTTTCTTTGAAGTAGTGCCAAAGGACAGTTTAACCTTCCACCACTACCGCTACCATCACAACCTTTAGACTTATTAATTCCTTCATTCACATGTTTCTGTATACCAGTGCTGATAACAATACCAGCTGGGAAGAAGACTTGTGATTACTTAAAACTCATGTTTGTTGGGACTGTGCTAGTGCAGTGCAGTTTCAGAACTGTTTTCTTTACTTTGTCTGTGGGGGCTTTCTGCAAAAGCAAATTTGCAATTGAAGTGTTTATTACGTGGGATACTAGCTCCTGGTAGAGCTATCAGCACTGGATTTGAACTAAGATCTGTTTAGCCTTCCAGTATACAGAGGTAATCTTGATGGCCTTCAGACTAGAGATTTTGATGCCTACATAGAGTTCTATTAAAATAATCAGGTACTCTGTAGCTTTGAAACCCTCTTGTCTTACAGATGTGGTTAGGTGTTGATGTACCAAATCAAGGTAGTAAACAGTCCAAGATGCAGTTGGAGGCCATCCTGCCCTGCCCTATGCTCTGTGAACTGACCTAGCTAGGCCTTGTTCCTCTATCTGTGAATGCGTGACTCATCGATATGGGCGTTTGTGTTGGGCCCATACCAACCTTGTTTAGTCCCACAGTGTTTTGTTCGCCCCACGGAAGCAAAGAAAGCAGCAGATGAAGCCAAGATGAGGTTTGCCCACATAGATGGAGATCATTTGACGTTGCTGAATGTCTACCATGCTTTCAAGCAAAGTAAGTCTGTACTTGTTTTAGCCAAATTGTTTGCAATGCTTTGTGCTGCCAACTTTCATTCCTGGGTTCCAAGGACAGGTGAAAGGCTTGGGCTTGGGTTTTGTTATTTAAGTGCTACTTTGCTTTGGGGGTCAGACAAAACCAAAAGTCTACGGAAGAAATCATGTTATAAACTGATGAGCATGGAGGCAGGCCAGGCTTTAAATGAATGCTGGGTAACCCTTGATCAGAAGGAAGCAAGTGTTCCTATAACTAAGAAATTCTGGAATCTGACATTAATTATCCGAAAATATGCATAATTGCTTAGTGGTTTCTCAGGTAGAGCAGTGCAGAAAATACTGTGAATTTGGAGAAGGATATGTTCGTAGAACCAAACCTTTTTAATCCTAACTTTTTAATGTAGTTAGGAATTCTGTAATGAGGCTTTGGGATAGATTGAGGGCGAAGGAGTAATGCATCAAGTAACTTAGAGCCATGCGGTACAGTTATTTCATTTACATCACTTCTGTGTATGAAATTTAGGGAAAATGGATGGTCTTCCTCAGCATAGATGAAGTATATTTTAGCAGCTTGAAAAGGATAGGAATGAACAGGGTAAGCTAGGAATTCTCTTGAAAAATTACTACCTAAGTGACTCACTTTTTTCACCTGTGACTTACACTGGTGGCTAGTAAAGTGGTTACAGTTAGCTGCCAAACAGGTTAAGTTAGGTGCTCCAATGTCCTGTAAGCAAACAGAAAAGCAACAGTTTTTTACCCTAAGTGAAATGAAAGGGGCACTAAGTTGCCTCTCTGTTGCAGTTTTGATTTAGAAATTTTGTGCTGAAATCTTCTAACTATCATTTATGGGACAATCTAAAATAAAGAGATCTTCAGAGTAAAGTCCAAACAGGTGTATTCAGTTTGTTTAATGCAAAGCTGAGGAACTTCTATTAAACACCTATAAACTGGAGACATGTGTTACTTGTGCTGTTCTGTTGTAGTTAACAGGACCCAGGATGTCTTGCAGACATTTTGTTTCTGGAAGCCACTGCTTTCATACTCAGGTTACTGAGGGATAGAGATATTTCAGGAATCAGCTTTTGTTCAGTTGTGCTGTGAAATTGTGAATTGATTTTTTGGGTTCAGAAGACAAAATGCTGCTACTGATTGTATCTAGAACAATATAAAACATTTATGGATTACCTACCATGCACAGTTCAGATGGCTGAGAAAGTAACATGCTGTGGTGCTTCACTGTACAGTAGAATCCTAACTGTGCAAGATCTTCATTATACTTAATTTCAAATATATTCTACAAGATAACATGCAGAAAGAACTCTGACTGACCTGGAATTACCTAACCTCCCTTCTTTTCAAGTCAAATTAAGAAAAGTCTCGTTCTGTACAAGAGTTCCTTTAAGTTTTAATTCTTGTTTAGTCTGGCTTTGTTGGATTATTAAGCTGAAAAAGATTATAAGAGCATTACTTGAAAAGTAACCGACTTGGTAGGGAGAGCTGGGTTTCTTGGTGTTAAACATGCAGGCATATCCTGACAGAAGTGCTGAGGCTTGCTGTTTTAACAGAGTTCTTCTTAGAGCTATCAGCAGTGGGAACAATAAGAGTAAAGAGTTCTGTTACAGTTGCTGTATTTTACCAGTCACCTACATTTACTTAAACTGCTATGAGGTGCATCACAGTTAAAATACAGCTCACTGTGTATAGTTCTTAACTGGCACTTTAATGTTTAATTTAAGGAGGATTTAATTTCTCCAATACAGTATAATTATGTACAGTCTTATGTTTGTTATATGCCACAGTTAAGATTGTGCAGTGTTCTTTACATAGTTATACTTTACACTGCAGATTTGGAAGATGATTTTTCTAGTTGCAGACTGTGATTTTCGAAATGTCCAAAGTTTAGTGATGTATTTCAGCCAAACATCAGTTGATTGTGTGTATGGTATGTTGGTGAGGGGATAAAACCCCTGATTTTCTCATGTCCTGACCACATGTCTCCTGAATAGAAAACAGTTTTGGCAAGTTCCCTAATGCAAGAAATGGACTGAATAAACTCTTAAGAGCCGTTGTCATTTATAAAAGTTTATGGATGTTTTTTTCTGGTTCATCTGACTGATCAATCAGTTAGTTGCTGTTTTATTTACTTGTTCTAATTTTGATTCATGTTTTCTAATGTTGCAGATCATGAGTCGGTTCAGTGGTGTTATGACAACTTCATTAACTACAGGTCCCTGATGTCTGCAGACAATGTACGCCAGCAGCTGTCACGAATCATGGATAGGTTTAATTTGCCTCGTCGAAGCACAGACTTCACCAGCCGAGACTATTACATCAACATAAGAAAGGCATTAGTTACTGGGTATTTCATGCAGGTAGGTGTGTGTTCTCCTAGGGAGCATAGTTCATAGTTTATGTGGCTTATAATGCTAGTCTGGTTGTTAGAATTCACTAAAACGTAATGAATGTTCCTTAAATTACACATGGCTAACTCTATTGCCACCTTGTCTTTGTCAGGTTGCTTGGTTATCGGTCTAGTAGCGTGTTCTTTACTCAAATCTTACTTGGAAAAGAAGTTGTAGGCAATCTTAATAGTATTCAAATACTGTTTCTGACATGACCAGTCAGGAATTGGCCACTACCTTCTGAATAGCTGAAGAAGTAACTGCATACAACATTTCAAAGTAACTGCAGAGTATGTAGTTCTAAAATTATTTGTAATCTGATACAAAAAGGAGCAGTACACTGGTATGTAAATATTAATTATATGTAATTCTTATAGGAGAGTATTTCTTTTGCATGCTTTTCCATATTTACGTTTCACTTTTGAATTGCATGAGTCAGATACTGGAGTACTGGAGCAGATCTGTAATTTCCAGATGTAGGCTGTTGGAAACTCATTTGGCACTTGAGGCAGGATGCTGTGGATGTCTCCACTGCTGCCTCCTGCATGCTTTGCATTTCAGGTTTAGCATCCCCCCAGGCTAGAATGTGGGCTGCTTGGGGTTTGTTTGGTTTGGTTTTGGTTTGGCTTTTTTCCCCACTTAGTCCCTTTGTGCTGTGGGTTTGTTTTTTTTTTGTTGTTTTTTTTTTTTTTTTTACTTCAGCATTCATCCTTGGGGCTAGAGGAGTCCCTTTGCTGTCTCTTGCAGACCCAGGGCATGAATCTTCATCCTCATTGACTCCAGACTGTTGTGATAATGCTTTTTCCAATAAAAATGCATTCTGACCCATCTCAGCAACATCTCTGCTGGAGCCTAATACCTCACTTCTCAAGAACACAATCTTGTTAGCCTTAAGAGGCTGACCAGTGCCTGTGACATTTCCTGATTTTTCCCTTGGGCTGTGCTGTAGTGGTATTTGAACACAAAAGCTGCCAGCTGGAAAGGGAGCCATTGGGCAGTGCTGTGAGCTTAGAACTGCAAGTGGCTTGACAGCCACACACTTAGCACGTCCTCACTGAGGCACAGACTGGGGCACCATATCTGCTCACATCACCTCCACTCAGGTAACTCTGCCTTCTCCTGGGCTCAGCCAGACAGTCTGCAGCAGCAGCATGTCTTTCAGAATGCAGCAATATTAGTGTCAGCAACTGCATTTCCCTGTCATGCAAATAGGAGATTAAGGCTGTTGGCTGCTTTTAAATATGAAAATGGTTCTAAAGCCTGGCATGCTGTAACCTTTCAGATAAGCAGGCTACTCACTGTGTTCAGTCCTTGCGTTTGGGACGTGTTTTCTTTGTGTTCTTGGGGAACACTTTGGTACACATTCCCACCTACACCTTTAATTCTGTTAATTTTTGGAAAGACAAAATAGCAGTTCTGCCCAACAGGCTCTGCAGGTCTGAGTGCCACAGCTGTGCTTACCCTATGGCTTCTTTCACTTACTTGGACCTATAGGCAGGTCCTGTGCCTGGCAGTTGGTGTGCTGTCAGTTTGTTTCATGTTACTTGGAGTGAAACTTTTCATCTAAAAGTTGTATACCTGCTCCCATGGATGAGGAACTGCACGGTGGGTGCAGGTAGCTCTTTGGTATCTGTCTCAGGAGTTACACCTATGTATTTTTGCTGTGAACAGAGTAGGAGGCTCACACAGATGAAAACTAAAGCCTGTCCAGAAGCCTCTTGGGGCTTCCATGGCCAGTAGGTTGTTTACAACCTCTCTGACCCAAAATGCCTAATTGAATTTTTGGGCTGAATCAAGAGAGAGCTGTGGCAGACCTGTTGGACGTTTTTGGAGTGGAACCCATTTCAGCAGTTTCTCCTCTGCTTTGAAGTGTTTGAGTCCATTTAATTGTTGAGTTTCTATGAGTTTTTAACCACCATGATTCTGTGATACCTATTTGATCTTGATTCTGAACCTTCTGTCTTGAATTTTGTGTTGCTTGGTGTAGACTTCAGGTGGAAAATTACAAATACTCAAATGAGATGTTATTTACCAGCAGCTGAAGTGCTTAAAAGTGGCTTTGAGACTTGTATTACCACTTACATTAACTTAAGGTTTTATCATCATATTTCAAATCTAGTACTGAAGGCAGAATAAGAATTGAGAGTTGAAAATTTAAGTCAGAATATAAAAGTAAAACCAAGTCCTGTGTTGTTTTCAAATCAGAGTAGGTAAGGTTGGAAGTGACCACAGTGAGTCATCTGGTCCAACCTCACTGCTCAAGTGGGGCCGTCCTGGAGCACATGGCACAGGATTGCATCCAGGCAGTTCTTGAACATCTCCAGTGAGGGAGACTCCACAGCATCTCTGGGCAACCTGTTCCAGTGCATGGTCACTCCCACTGTAAAGAAATTTTCCCTTATGTTCAGGTGGAACTTCCTGTGCATTAGTTTCTGCCCATTGCCTCTTGTCCTATTGCTTGGCACCACTGAGAAGAGCCTGGCTCCATCTGCTTGATACTCTCCCTTCAGATACTTGTAGACACTGAGGTCCCCTCTTGGTTGTCTCCTGAAGGCTGAACAGACCCAGCTCCCTCAGCCTTTTCTTTTGAGAGATGCTCCAGGCCCTTGTTGCCTTCTGGACTTGCTTCAGGAGCTTCATGTCTCTCTTATACTGCCCAGAACTGGACACAGCACTCCATGTGGCCTCACCAGGGCTGAGTAGAGGAGCAGGATCACCTCCCTTGACTTGCTGCACTCCAGGATACCACTGGCCCTCTTGGGCAGACAAGTATACAAATCAAGCTTGGTACCTTGGAAGATGTGGCTTAGTCAAGCACAGCCTATGTCGTGATCATGACAGAGGATAAACTTAAATGATCAGTATTGTACAGGGAGTTAGATGTCAGGTGGTTTGACTACTAATTAAAATCTCATTCTTGATGCTGCTCAGTCATTGGTGATATTTCTTTTATGGAATTATGTATATTTGGAAGTCTTTACATAATCAGGCTCCTACAATAATAGAATAGTAATAAAATAAACCTGTGACATGAAGGTGGTCACTGGTGCATTTAATGGTATTCATTTTGCTCTTTAAGAATGCAGGAGAACAGTGTCAAACTTTTTAATAGATTCAGAAACACTCTTGCGTGCTCTGCAAGCAGGAATTTTGGAAATCCAAGCAACTGACAGTGCTCCTTTGGTGCATGGTAGCATTCTTCTGTCAGAAAGACAAGAAACAATCATTTCTCTAAACTGTCTGTCAAGACTAGCCTAGCAAAGTTTGTAGCCTTGAATCTAAAAATGCCTGGATCTTGTGATACTGTTCATACTTTTGACCTTTTAAGTGTGTTTGGATTTATGGTGTTAGATGTGTTTGACTAAAGGTCCCTGATTGGACCCTCTAGGTTGAATGATGTGTTAGATAATAAATAAGCAGACCCATACTTAAAATTTCAGGGCATTTTTCTAGAATGAAACCTAAATACATGGTTTGTCCTTTTCTAGGAAGAGCTGGAACAGATAAAGCACTCAGATATTCTTGTATGCATGTGTAATTTTGATCTGAACAATGACATTGATTTTTAAGCAGAACTTCCTTTGGAAATAAAGCATAATCCCACAGCAAGGTGTGCTGTGTTTGTGCTCAGTCTGTGACAGATGAGTGTCTAGTCTGGTTTGGTTTACAGCTATACTGCTATTTAATTTTGCAAAGGTTTTATTGAGTTGGATGAAATTAAGCCTAAATCGTTACAGACAGTGTGCTGTTAATCTCTGTTTAAAGGAACCTCTGCTGGCTTCCCAGGCTTGAAGTAAAGTGGAAGTGTAATCTCTAAAATCTTGGGTGAAAAGATTTGCAGACTATTGAAATACTTTGTTCCACTCCTAAAACATGTTCTGGATATTAATGTCATAACATAGAAAAGAGAAGCACACTCAAAATAAGTAATTTTTGCTAAGGAGATAATCTGACTTAAAATTTGAGGTAGCTATTGCTTTAGAAGTCCTGGGGTTTTAATCTCATAGGTGGAATTCACTTTTGACTAGGCAAAAAAAAAAAGTAAGTGAAGCTGAGATATACATAGGAATTCAAGAAAACAAGGAAGTACAAGGAAACCAGCTGATGATCATCTCATTTCAAATGTCTTTCTAATATCTTTCAGCCATTGTCCATCCTGCTTAATCTTTTTACAGTATTCATGTGTGTATATGTATGTATGTAATGAGATGAGTGCAGAGGTTATCTTGAATTACCAGCATCAGAGGGTTGATTTGAGTTACCTGTTCGGTTAGATTAGCTGTTCATACAGAGAATGGCCATCTAAGGATAACTCTCTGCTTTACCTGCCCTTAATGAGAGAGGTATCGGAGCATCACAGAGAGGTGGCATTGCTCCCTTTCATAGAGCAGGCAGCTTAGAGAGAGGTTAATTTGATTTTCACCAAGGTCTCAGCACAAGTGTGTTGCTGAACCTACATTTTCCAGCTCTGAAGCTCATGCTGTAACCAGACCTCTATTACGGTAGGATAACATTGTGGCTTACTGGTCCCACAGTAGCTACTGAAATGAAATGCTTGCAGCAGATGTCTTGAGTAGACCAGAGTTGATGTGTGATGTTGCCAACCTGTCCAGTAGATATTCCCATCCACTACTTGTGTTTGCATTGCTGTTGTTCTCATAATGATTCTTCTCTTTGGGTGCTAACTATTTTTGTATGTTGCTTGAACTGTATATTAGAATATGCACTTAGCATGGCAGTTAGCAAAAACATCTGGCATCTTGATGGTGCCTATAAAAAAACATGAGTAGTTGAAGTGGTCAAGTAATGTGCCAAATTTAGATGAGGTTTGAAAGTTGGGGTAGTATGTTTTGTATAGAGCACTTAACAAGCAGCTTGAAATGGCTTCATTTAAAAACTGCCTGTAGTAACTGAAGAATGTCTCTTTCTTTAGGTGGCACATTTGGAGCGAACAGGGCATTACTTAACAGTGAAAGATAACCAGGTGGTGCAGTTGCATCCCTCCACTGTTCTTGATCACAAACCAGAGTGGGTGCTCTATAATGAGTTTGTCCTTACAACAAAGAATTACATCCGGACATGTACAGACATCAAGCCAGAATGGTAAGTACCAAGTCATGACCTACTGTAAAGCTTTTGCTTTGATTTTTCCCTTTTTAAATTAAAATGGTTCTTTTTGCTTTTTCTGAAGTTAGTATTACTATAATGGTATGGACTTGAGGTCTTGCAGGTGTCTAAAGGTTTTCTTTGTGGATACTTCTACCTGTCTGTGGGAGTTGTGTTTAGAACTCTTGATGTCTGGGCTGTGTATGCAATGTGCAGGGAGATGCTTGGCTTAAAACCAGTTACTTCAGTAAGTCTGTTTGGAAGGAGCTGCTTGGAGCTGCTAGGTTTGGGGTATGTCCTAGCACCCACTGGCATACCTGAGTTGAGATAACAGTAGGTGCTTCTGTCTCAGTATCTAGGACTTCTCTTGTCTGATTTCTTTCAGAAGGATCTAGATAGGATTTTGTGCTTTCTTAGAATACTAAGGAAAAAGGTGGTAATAGTGATACAAGTTGCCTTGTCATGATACTTATTCATCAACACAGTGTATATCAAGGAAATCAGAGGCCTGATGCTCTGCAGGCAAGCAGAGATCTGAAGCATCTTGCCTGTCTTGGAGGTTGTACTTAAACTGCCAAGCTGTAAACTTTGGCTCTTCAGCTGCTGAAACTACCGTTGTGCAGAAAGAGTTTAAAGATTCGTAAGCTGAAAAGCATAGCATATATATATTGCTGTAGTATCTTGATGGAAAATGTGTTTGAATCCTTTCTCCACAAGCATTGTCTAGCCTAAACCAGGATCCTATGGCCTTGGTTGCATTTTGTAGCTGAAAACAGCTGAGGCTGAACTGAACTCGTACACAAACTGACCTTTGGGTGGGCGTCGGTGGCTGAAGGACTGTGACAGTAAGCAGCAGCTCTGACTCTTTGGGCTGCCCTGGCAGGTACTGAAGCAGCAGTGAGGGTTTGCAAGGGGCATGTGGCTGAACAGGAGCATCTCCTGAGGCTTGTTGTGTGCTTTTTGCTTTGGACTTGGGCACTTGCCCGGGATGGGACTGAGTGTGCATGTGTCTAAACTTCAGTTGATCTCCTGAGGTGTGTGCTTTTTGCTTTGGACTTGGGCACTTGCCCGGGATGGGACTGAGTGTGCATGTGTCTAAACTTCAGTTGA